CTACTACGGCGACGACGACAACGACGACTATGACGACGACGACGACGACGATTACTACTACTACTACTACTACTATTACTACTACTACTACTACTACTACTTCTTCTACTACTACTACTACTACTAGTACTACTACTTGTACTAGTATTAGTACTAGTACTAGTACTAGTACTAGTACTAGTACTAGTACTAGTAGTGGACATGCATGGCTGTAAAAATTACGTGGCCCATGGCCTCTACTAGTACTACTAGTGGACATGCATGGCTGTAAAAATTACATGGCCTCTACTAACAATACCTGAACGAGATCAACAATTTCCGCCAGTACCCAACATCATGAAACCAGATGGGGGCACCGCTTCGAGATACCATAATTAGCTTAGAACGGAAATAGACGCAGCGGTTCATTTGGTGACAAATTCCGAAAATGCATTGGCCTTGGTGAGGGCACCTGTCGGAACTGCAAGCCCAGCCCGAGCCCCGACCACGCAGCTCCCAAACCAGGCGGCGCCGATGGCTCACCATTGGACGAAGGGGCACTGTTGCCGTTTGTTCTAACCGCGAAGTCGGGTCTGTAAGCGGAACGTTCTGTGTTCAACCACCACTTTTGTGCTATGTCTCTGTGTCTGTGCCAATGTCCACACAGCTTGTCATTGCTTTTCTTGCTGTTGTCGTTTGCTCACTGAGATTTGCCGCTCGCCGTTGTGGCATGAGGGACCTTGGCTGCTGCAGCCGTTTGCTGTGCTGTTCGCCTTTCCATTCACATCGTTGAAGGCATAGATCAAGGCGTCTCAATCAGTACCTGGCATTGCATACGGCAGAAGTTTCACCCAGTTCCTTGATATGTTCAAGCTTGCGTTTCAGAAGCGCAGCAGTTCCCCTTAATTAGTGAGCTTATGCTCGCCGCAACCCGTCTGAGTCTGAGGCGATACAACGAAAAAGATGCCGTGCTGCTGTCAAGCTCCGACAATCCACCGCAACTAAGCTTTTGGATGTTGGTGTTTGCCTTTGTGGCTACTTGTTGACCCAAGTGCCGCCAGTCAACGATACGGACAGCCTGACGACCACAAGTAAACTGTGCAACAGAACTTGTACAAGCTTGTCGCCGGTAGATTTTTAATGTAAATGCGCCTGACGTCGCATCGTTTGTTGCCATGGCAAAACAAGCTACGGTGATGATAACTTCGTGTTGGTCACAGCTCACGCACGCACAGCTTTGACGGAACAAGTGTTTGCACCCAGTCACCTATGTTTGATGCAAGCGCTCTTGAGTGAATTTGTCGTGACATGTGCGGAACATTATGTGACTACCTAGATTGCCCACACGGAGCAGCGCGCCAGACGCCAAGTCGCACGTTGCCAGGAACGTGGTCGGCCCCACGCGCGGTTGTTGCTCTGGGAGGTTGGGGGCCGCTGGAGCGACGAGTGCCAGCACTTCCGCAGCTTGCGGTTGGGCGTGCCGCTGGTGGAACGTGTTGCCGATTGCTCCGCAGCGAGCAGTCGCCAGCTCTGCTGGTCAATGCCGCCGCTGCCAGGAGCACCGGACATGCTCTCGTTGAGCGACGTCCTAGATCTGTGTTACGGAGGTGGTGTAGTGGACGCAAGTGGACGCCATCGGGGCCTTTCGGGCTGACGCAAGAAGGCGCGGCAAAGAAACAAAAAAATACAAACTCCAACTGTAACCATTGAGCTTCAAACCGGAAACATAACGGATGCGAGCACACCGGCTCCGAAAAGTGCGGGCAGCGTTTTAAGGGTACTCAAGTTGCGGATATCCTTGGTTCCTTTTGGCCTACAGTCCCGGTGCGTCATACACTTATCGTTACGTTGGCAGGAACCATTTCAACTACGTACAGCTGCTCGTGGGGGTGGCGGTGGGTGTGGCCCAATAATGTGGCAAGATTGAACGAAGCTTTTATGTCAATTGCCACGAGTCTGGTCAGTGCTCGCACAAGGTGCCGTTAGGCGGCGGCCGCTCCTGACGTTTTTAGCTTCACAGAGATGCTGAAACCTCTGTTGGACATGTTTTCCCAAGTTGCAATGCCACACTGAATCAATCCGAGTGCCAGTGCACTGGAGATGTAACCACGCTTCGCGACCTTTCCAAGCGTGAGGATTGCATGGGATGCCGGTTTGAGGTGCCGCCTCGTTCTGGAAGAGAGCATTGCCCAATTCTCAGGTATAGTATGGAGGTTTGTTTGGCAGTGGTCAGCAAAAGGCTGCGGACATGTTGCTTGCATTGCTTGCTCAAACACCTGGGTTGGGACGGCTGGGAGATTAAGCTTGCAACTTTGCAGCGGCCCGGACTGTCCAACTCTGGAGTGTACAGACTCGCGCCATGTGCCGGTGGCTCGCGGTGTGGCTCAGTCTCGCCACAGCGGCTTCCTACAAGGTATCTGCGTGGTCCAAAACCTATGCGTACAAGAGCTTGGGGTTCATGGTTTTACGGCCCGCCACACCGAAGAACCAATGAGGGCGTGGGATACCTTGCAACATTAGTTTTTGAGGCCCTTATCTGCGGGTTACATCACTTTGCATGGTTTCCGGCCTTCTGAGTTTCAGAAGAAATAAGGGCAGTTCCTAGTGGAATCCAGGCCTTGTGGTGGGAGGCGGGCTTTACCGGCTTGGCACTTCCAGCAAAGTTTTACCAAGCGGCAGGATGTTTGCTTGCACGCACAGCGTTTTGCTGCCTCGTGCATTTACGGGACTTCTTGAAGTTGAAGCAGCAGCCGCCGAGTTGTTGTGCGTGCGATTGAGTGTCGGCGTGTTTGGATATTGCTGCATGCTGGAACACGCACAAAGAGGATAAAGAGGGGGCTTCTCCGCGAGCCGGATGTCGCGGAACGCATGGGTTGTTCTAAGCCTGTTGCATCTCGAGACCTGTTACATGTCAATTTTCCCTCTGTAGTATAGGGCTTCCAGGACAGGTCCTGTAATCGCCTTCCTTACAAGACCTCAACTATGGGCAAAGTTTCTTGCTGTTTGGTTTGGTTGAACCCATGTTTTGTGACGAGCAGGCATCCGACGTGCCGATAGAGATAGTCAGCACCGACAACGAGAACTTAAAGGAGCAAGAGGAACTTGGAGGAGGAGTTCAAGGAGATAAAGGGCATTCCAAATCCTGACAAGAACGCAAGCAACTCCAGCAATGCCACCGGAGGTGTCTTGGCCGGATGTATTAAGGTAGTACTATAAGCCGCAAGCAGCACTCCTCCCTTACAGCAGGCCCTCGAAGTTCACCCCCGTCGCTGGCCAAGGTTTCGGCGAGCTTGGGAGGAACTTTGAGTTCATGATGCTGAAGTTGGCTCAGCTTGAGACGTTGTGCGAGTTGCAACAGGTCGAAATCGAGTCATTGAAGAAGACCGTGAAAGGGCTGGCTGAACATGTGGATCACGAGGACAGCGTGGTGTCCATGGTGCAGAAAGACGAGGGCACTAGACTCCAAGAGGCCCAGCACGCCCTGAAAAGGGTGCTTACCAAGCATGTTCACCAGCGCGCGACCAAGGAATTCCATCCGAAGCCTCCTAGTGCAGGCCGCCCCGAAGCCAAACCCGACGTGCAAAAGGCCGCAGAAGACAGGTCGGGGCACACAGGCCCGTTGAAGGAAGCTGGCAAAGCTGCTGTGAAATGGGCTGCCGATCGCGATGAGGCAAGTACATGGGTTTGCGACGCATGTCGTGGGGAGTGTCAGCCATCTCAGGTCACCAGTCAGCGCAATTTCAGCTAGCATGTGCAGTCTAGGTATGCCTCACAACGTCCTTGATGCGTCCGTGTGCCTGTTCGGGTGTGGTGTCCTTAACTTGAGGTAGGCAGGAGTCATATTCATTTGTTTTGGTGCAGTGATGCTTCACATTTCGACCCGCCGGACCCTTCCTTCGGCTCTAGCTACGTTTCTCCCAGTTCCACCTAGCCCCAGGCCGCGCGTCGGGCGGAGCTGCTCCTGAAGCGCAAGACCACGAAAGCTGATGCGGCATCCTTGGACAGCTCGCTGTCCAACAAAGACCCCGTGGAGTTGGCAAAGGATCTGGTCGAGGCAAGGACAGGGGTTTGGTGTTTGGTTTGGATGTCATGTCTTAGGTTTATGTCTTGAGGATGTGATGTGACGTGATGTGATGTGATGTGATGTGAGCAAAAGCAAAAATCCTTTTCTTTCCAAGCCTTCTAGACCGAGTCGGCCGTCGGTGCAGACCAGCTGCTGTGTAGTGTTAATTTTTAATACTTCTCGTAAAGTGGTTTGCTGTGAAACCAGGCCGGCAAGAGGGTCAGCCAACGTCCTTGATGCTGTTTGATGCTTCTGTGTCGTTGTTCCTGGTTCTAGCGCTCCCTGACCAGAAATTGTTTGCAGCACGGGCTTGGCGAACTGGGGGAGGATGGTAACTATGCATGTGTTTCACAGTTTCGAAATGATGCTTTGCACTTTGCATTGCAGGACCCTTGCTTTCGAAGCTCTTAGCCTGCCAGTCGGAGATCTATCAGATCTGAACCAAGTGCTGGATTTCGTACATAGACACCCCCCTAGACGACAACATAGTGACAAAGAGCCGAGAGGTGGCTGTGTGGCGACTGTAGCGTATCAGACTAGAAACACCAACCTCGCACCAACATTGCGCCTTGAGCCACCGCCCTGAGAGGATGCCAAGAGCCTGGCGGAGAGCACAGCGGATGCCTACGAAGATGCCAAAGACAAGGTGGCCTCCACAATCTTTCGGAGGGCTGGGGCCGGGATTCAGGATGGGTTACGGTTATAGGATTAGGCTACCAGCTTGGATGAGAAGGTCTCTGAGGCCGTTGATTTGATGTTGCAGGGTTAGGTCTGTTGATTTTGGTGGAGTTGGACCGCCAGGTGGCGTTCATTGCCCAAACAACGATTGACACAGTGGAGATGGCCGTGCAGATCCTTCTGAAAGGCTTCACCGATTGGGATGCGGATTGCGTCATCAAAGCGCCAACCACATACGTTCCAGAGTGGTCTTGGGAGGGGAAGCGTCGCCAGATTCCAACAATTGCTCTGGACTTTGGTCGACAGTGGTGCTGGGTAAGCTTAATGAACTAGAGGATCGACATATTCGATTTTAATTGGCACCCTATCCACTTCCCTTTTCCCAATGTCATACACGACGCGATCAAGGTGGGTCGAGACTTGAAGAGCTGTGAGGGTGGAAACATCGTCAAGTGCCTCGGCAACAAGATCGTTGAGGAAGTCCCGCCCCTGGACGCCATGGTCTCGCATTGCAGCGGTAGAGACCTCTTCGAGTGCCTCGGCAGCAAGGTCGTGGAGACGGTGCCACCGCTGACGGCCATGGTCTCGAGTTGCAGCGGCAGGAACCTCTTCGAGTGCTTTGGCAACAAAATCGTGGAGAAAGTGCCGCCGCTGAACGCCATGGTGTCGATGGGTCGCGATCTCGCGACTTGCTTCGGTGGCACAGAACCGGTCGAGCTGTTCAAGTGCCTGGGCACTAGGATCGCCGAGAATGTGCCCCCGTTGAATCGCGTGGTCACCCTCGGCCGCGACCTCGTAAATTGTGCCGAGGGCTCTGAGCCTCTCGACCTCATCAAGTGCTTCGGCTTCAGGCTCCTCAAAGAAGTGCCTCCATTGAACTTCTTGTCCCGTCTGGGCGACATCTTCGCCGAGTTCATCGATACCTTCGCTAAGGTAGCCACCACCGTCGTCAAGACTGCCATGAAGCACGGCTTCTCGCTGGTGCAGACAGCCGCCACGTCCAAGTTCCCGGAGGCTGGGGCACCGCCTGCCATCCACCATGCAGGTAAGAATCTCGTGATCAAGACGCATTCGCAGTATGCAAGTCAGCTCGATGCAAGAGTTCGGACATCTTCGCCTCGAATGTCCGTGCTGCAGCAGCATGCCAATGCTTCGCTCGCGGCTGGTGGCGATGATGACGACGAGGCTTCTGCTGTCAGGGGCGAGGCAGCGATCTCCTTGCAGGTGGGGCCGTACGGCCCAGAGACCACAGAGCTGATCACGCAGTTCGATGCCAAGGAGACGGACACCGGATCCTGCCTGGCTTTCGCCCCAAGGACGAAGACGGGCCAAAACGGCCAGGCGACCGAAAAGGATTGGCAGGTGGACAGCGACGACAAGTTCATACAGTTGGAGCCTTGGGCAGTGCCTTGCGACAACGGCTGGATGCAGAAGAATTGGGACAAGTGGCAAGGCTACACCTTCTACACCTCCAGATCCAACATCGAGAAGTGTCTCACTGTGACATTCTCCATGGGTGTGCAGCCCGTGGTGGCCTTCGTTGGCGGCGTGCAGCTGGACTTGCTGCCCACGCCCTTGGTCCAGATGGACACACAAATCTGTTGGCCTAAGCATCACCCAGGCGGGGTTGACATCAGTGTCCTCCGCGCGGAGATCCGCACCGCAGGGATCCTCCTCTTCAGTCGCACCATGCGCTTGGCCAAGCGCTTCGGCGACCACACGGGCTTCGGCGGCAGAAACCTCAACAAGGGTGTGGAAACCTTCAGGAGCCAGTTCGGCTTAGATTGGGCAAGATCGAAGTCGGAGAGCGGATCCGGTGTTTACAAGATGAAGCGGACGACAGGCCTCTTGGAGACCAACAGCAGCCTCAACCAGGACAAGGCTGATGGGGAGGCTGAGCTGCAGTGGGTCGACGCGGAGGACTTGTACATGGCATCGGTCGAGTATGGAGAGCACATGTCCGTCAACAAGACCTCCGAATTACGCGGGTCGGCTGCGCACCGCAGAATGAGCATGATGCAGTCGCAGTCCGGGCAGTCGCAGTCGGAACCTGAAAGCTACAAGCTCTTCGGATTCAAGAAGCCTGGGAAAGTCAGCTTCGATTTCCAGGGGCTCCTCACCGGCAACACCCTGGAGCTTGAGGTGAAGATGGGCTTTGGGCCCTTTGAGAGCCCGGCACAGCGGATTCCGCTCCTGAACATCGTGGATCAATTCTCCGCGCTCCTCCAGGCTCTGCCCTTGGTCTCCAAGGGCAGCCGCGGGAAGGCGGAAGAGGCCTTGAGCGACTTCTCCGAGAAGGATGTCGGCAGGGTGGAGAAGCATGCGTTTCCGGGAAGCATCGTTCCGGGCACCATGGTCGCCATCTACAGCAGGGCCTGGAAACGATTCATCAAGCTGCGCGACAATGGGGTAGTGCAGAGCAGTCCAGTGGTCCACAGCTCAGTCATGCCAGATTCATGGGCGTGGGAACGCTTTACCGTGGTGGATGCCGGCAATGGCAAGATCGCCTTGCACAGCTGCTACAACAACCGCTTCCTGCAAATGGGTGCTCATGCTCCCACGGGCAGCGGACATCACAGCGCCCGCATTCCAGAGTCCATGACCTATGAAATGTTTACCGTGGTTGATGGCGGGAATGGCGAGGTGGCCTTATACAGTGAAGCCTTCCAGAAGTTCTTGAGGATGAACGGGGACAAGCTGGATACGAGCCCAACAACATCTTCCGAGTTGCATCCCGGTTGGGCATGGGAGCGATTCCAGTTCGTAACCTTGCAGCCCTGGTTTGAGCCCGGATCTGTGATCGCCTTGCACAACACCCACCACAACCGTTTCATCCGGATGCGCAACGATGGAAACATGGATGGTAGCGGAGAATCCAGCACCTACCATGCTGGCTGGACGTGGGAACGCTTCACCGTGGTGGATGCGGGTTTCGGCGAGATTGCACTTTACAGTATCGACCATCAACGCTACGTCGCCATGCACGGCGGGGCCACGGGCCCCACTATGGGCAGCACCAAAGCCGTATTTGGCAGCCAGCCCGGTCCGGAGGAGCGTTTCGCCGTGAGGCGCGTGAGCGGGGAGTTCGGCCTCCACTGCAGCGTGCACAACCGGTTCATCACCATGGAGGGGAAGACGGTACGGCCCACCGCGGGCCAGTTTGCCTTCTCTCATCTGAACGCCGTTCACACTTGGGAGCGCTTCCGCATCTTCAAGCTCCAGGATGCGCCCACCCACGAGGCGAAGAAGGAGAGTTGGACCTTCGATGCCTGAGGCACTTGTATAGACTTTGCCAATTAGCTGAGAGGCTCTTGCTGAGCAAGTTGCAACTTGCGATGGTCTTGCCTTGTCCACAAGTCCTATAGGCCCTTGGGTCGGAGGTGAAATCGAGGATGCCTCGCCGTCGCTCGGGCTCCGACCTGATTCAAGAGCTTTTGACGCATGTGGATCAAGCTACTCTTCCGCGAGAGCCACGGTGCGAAGCACCTGGCGTCCGCTCTGTGATTGATTACGTCTTTAAGTGTAGGTGGCATGCTTTGCTTTTTCCCGACAAGCAGGGGTTCGCAGGCTGCGAAAAGACCGAGGGTGCTCATGAACTGTCTGGGGCATGTCGACTCTGAAGCACTCGGCCGACTGGAATCCCATCGCTGCCTCGTGGCATCATGTCAGCTGGCAGACCCTAGAAGGCGTACTTGCCTCACTCCGTGCTGATGCCTGGGCCCCATGAAAGTCTTCGGTGCCGTCTTCCAAGTATCATTGCAGCAAGTCCTGAGCTGAGTCGGGAACTTAGGTATACCAGTAGATGCCAGGGGCAATCCCGCAGCACGGTTGAGTCTCTATTCTGATAGATATGGGTAGTTCTCTAAATTAGGGCCCCTCCTTTCTAGGGTCCTTTTTCATAAGGGCACCGCACTACTTAGGGGACTTTCAACCCTAAACCCTAAACCCTAGAGAACTACCCCAAACGCTTCGAGGCCGCTTCGAGGCCGGCTCCGCCTCGAAAGGCCTGGGCTGCTCTGAGCCAAGACATCGCCGAGACGGCTGACAGTAGGACTCACTTCAGGGTTTAGGGTTTAGGGAAAAGGGTAGGTTCTGGACTTCATGAAGAGTTGAGTGCAATTACAATAGGCCTGGATGCAAGAAATGAGGAGTTGAGTCTCGCAGATTCTTCCCGGAATTAGAGAGAGGGAGAGAGAGAGAGAG